CCCAGACTTGACCACTTTTGCTGTTTTTTTCACTGCGTTCTCTTGCCGCCGTCGGTGTTTCAAAGAAACAGCTTTTCTATCTCTTATTGAAAGAAAATCCAGATGAAAGAAAAGAGTTAATTCCATTTTCAATTGAGAGGATGTTTAAAGCTTTTTCACTGCTTTTTTGTCTCAATGATTTTTTCTTTGAATTTTTGGACTACTGATTGTTTTTCAGTTAATTTGAAATGGAATGAAGCAGCATTTTTAAGGGCAGTTTGAAATTTTGATTTAAAGATAGGTTCTAAAATGTTCAGCACTTGTAGTTGCTCATTTGCAGTTTTGTTTGGGGTTAGTGTATCTATTTCATCAGCTAATTTTCCAGCTTTTGACATGTTTTCTGTGCTTTCTCGGATAGACGTGTGCAGAGTTGATAATGTTGGATAACTGGCCTCACATCTGGCACAATCTTGTAAGGTATGCATTTTTTTCTCTCTTTCTGATAAAAGAGACCACAATTGTAATAAAAATATCTGAAGAAACTGCTGTTTTTCATCATTTTTGTTGAAATTTATCCAGTACTTGTTATTTGTTAGATAATTGTGCAGTCTGGTAAGGTTTGATTTGAATTTTTTTGTAGGACACGTACAATTTGGCATATCTGTGCATAACACTTTGGTGAAAGTCACAACGTGCCGGTGTTGAAATAATGTTGAAGTTGATTTTTTTTTTAAAGTGTAGATTCCTTTAAGTAGACTCTCTTTTGTTTTCCACCATTCAACTGAATTTTCATCTTTTGAACTTTTAGTTATTATGACCTTAGCAAAGTTGCAGTAATTCATATTTACCAAAAGTTTTATACACTGTACTAGTAGCTCATAATATTTGTGTACATTACCAAAATCTGCAAATCATTGAGGTCTTTTTAGCAGACGCCATTGTAATGTATATTCTCTAAGGGAAAAAAAATCCGCGGCTACGATAAGGCTGTCAAGAACTTAAAACCACGTTAAATTGTATATGTAAATGCACTAACCTTAATTCAAAAAATTCATATAGGAAGATAGAGTAACTGATAATATTTTTGGTGAACACATCTTGGACTTCCGAGGGAAGCCTTCATGTAAGTGTCATATGACCCTCAGAATCACGTGATCAGATATTTATATACTGTATTCAACTCCACATAAATCGCCCTGGCACAAGTGAAAGATGAGGATGAATAATAATCAAAATTCAGTGAATTTAACAGGATTTTACTGATGAAAAATGTAAACATTTATTTTCCAAATATTCTTAAGGATCCTCATCTCCAGCAAATCAGAAGAAATGGAATATGAGGAAGCCTTCCAAATTGGAGCCGCACCAAATCCAGGAGGACTTTCTCGGTGAACTTTCAGTGACTGTGGTGATGTGAAGTGAAACAAGTTGAATAAACTAGTGCTCCCAACATCTTTTAAGAGATTCAATTACAGTGCTGTGACTTGTATGCAGGTGCATGAAACTTTCGTTATTTTTACTTTTATATGTGTAAATGGGGAATGAGTTCAGCACTTAACTCCAAAGGCCTTGTAGTGGTCCCAGCAGTTGTTACCCTGGATGCTTCCAGTCCATCTTCTTGGGAAATTATCTGTTCTCTACCCTAAGCGACATAAAATCAGTTAGTTTTATTTCTTTGAAAATGAAAAGAAACTTGGTGGACTGACAGACAGATAGACTGATTTAACCGACAGACAGCGGCAAAGTAATATGCCCTCCCTTCTTTGTTAACTGTATTTGTAAATTGTAATTTTTAAATGTATAACTCTCAATGTGGATTTAACCAATGGGCGCATCCTGGTTATTCACCAATCAGCGCAGAGGTAGATGTTCGATACAATAACTCTTCAACCGCTTCTAAATGTGAGGTGCATTACTATTATCTTTTTGGTGCTCGATCTCTTCGAAGGTTCCGAAATCAAGGTCATCTACAGCGGAGACGTTGGAAAATTCTTGACGTTTTAGCTTTTATACTTCAAAAGAACGTTTCTCTTAAAAGCAGGAAGTATTTGGGAATATTCAGCATCATAATTATGAATTTTAACAAGTCTTTACATATTTTTCATAGTACTGTTTTCAAAAAATGTGCAAATGTTTAATGTTGACACACACCTCTGTTTATTATGTTTCGCATCTTAAATTATATGGTTTCCTATACATTTTTGCAATTATTGGAATATTTAGCAAATATTTATAAAATATACAGGTATTTTATTTGCTTAAGTAAACATGTATACATTTAATAATTCTACAACTTCAGTCAGGGGGATCCGACTTTTTCCCTAAGCGGAGGACACGAATTCTCTGAAATAGATTGTTTTTTCATGGTATAGACAAAATGATTGTTAAATTCCTATATTATTATGAAGGAATTTATGAAGTGTAAGACAGAAAGTTCAATTCATGGGATTTCAGGTACATTCGGTCAGCTTCAGTACCATGAGAGTCTTGCAGCTTCTTTGATTAACTTGGATGGAAATCAACTTCGTCTCCCTGCTAATGAATGTGAACTTCAGTGCTTACCGATGATATCGATAAATCGGAAAGACTGCATATACTGCAAAGAAGAAGCATCTTTAAAAGAACAGAAACTTCCAAGTACCAAGACACAGTATTTTTGTGCGAAATGTGAAGTGCCTCTTTGTCTGCAGAAAGAGAGAAACTGTTTTCTAAAGGGGCATTCTCCAGAAGGAAGAACAGTTCAGGATTTGGCTTAAGATAAGGGAAGAAAAGGGAAACTTTGAGGTTTAATTAATTACTCTCGGTCAAAGTTCGACAGCTAAATGTGTTAATATGTTGTTTTTTATTTCATTTAAGATATACAATGTGAGTGTTCTGTCAGATGTGGCAATGGGCCTCTCCTTGTGTCAATGTTTCATTTTAAAATACCTCAGGTCAAGGTCATCACACATTTTGAGTCACTAAAATCCTCTTTGTCAAAAGGAAATTTTAATAACCTCTTCAAAACTACGTAGCACTTCATTGTAAAAAAAAGTAGAAAACAGAGTAAATTCCCAAACCCCTTCCTTCAATGATTTTGGAAAGTGGGGTTGCTAAGTTTCTGTCACATACTTCTTAATATGGTTGCTAAGCAGCAGAAATGTGAAAAAAAGTACCTAAAAATAACAATTATTACTGAACAATAATTCATCGAATTTCATTTCTTTTAAAACTAGAGATGTTTGTAAAACACTTATGCCCCCTCCCCCCTAATTGGACTTTTTCCAAGTCCTAGGGGCAAAAGTCTGTCAAAAATGGAACGATTGTACCCAAAGCATAACTTGACTTAGATATTCATCTGTATAATAAAGAAACACGCACGCCTATATTTTGGAACCATTTAATCCAATATGAATAGCAATTTGGCCATACAATCTTTGTTTAATACAAAGAACAGTTCAATGGTAATTGAAAAATCGTCTTAATACCAGCGCTAAATAGTAAATTATCCATAATTCTAGCTCTTGAAAAAAAGGGGGGGGGTAGACCATTAAAATCAGAGTTTCAAGCATCACAATATTTCGAAATAGTCTTGGATGTGATTAGATGTTCCTTATATCTTTTCTTATGTTTCAGGCAATTAAATAAACAGAAATAGTTCAATAAAATTTAATGTTTCAGTTGTATATCGCTTTGAAATTGGTGGAAAATAAGCATTTTTATCGTTTTTTGTGAATAAACATATGTTCCCCCCGTGTCACACAAAAAGCTTTGGTATGATTTTTGTGAAATACCATTCCATATTACCTGTAAAAAGGAATTTTTGTGACAGGGGGGGGGGGGAGATGTTTTAAAAATATTTTCCGTTTTTCATTGATTTCTACAGTGAAAAACACAAGCTTTACCAAAATTTTAGAGTTATTTCTCTTTGTTTTCCCAAAAAAGTAATATTTTATGAAAATTCATATAATTATCTATAAAAAATATTAAAAATTCATCGAATATGTTAACTTTTGAAAATTGACTTGGAGGTAGGCGGGAGAACAATACTATCGATCGCAGTTCTTTCATCTCAGCATGCGCAACGATGTTAAGAAAATGAATGGAAACTGCAAATAATTGGAATTCTTCTAAGTCCAAGGGGCATAACTCTGTCAAAAATAGTGCAATCATACCTAAACCAGAACTTGACCTAGATATTCATCAAGCAAATCTGTATACTAAATTCCATCTCAGCATGTGCAACGGTTGTGAAGAAAATGAATGAAAACTGCAAATAAATGTAATTTTTCTAAGTACAAGGGGCATAATTCTTTGAAAAATGGCGAGTTCGTACCCAAAACAGAACTTGACCTAGATATTAATGTGATATATCTGCATACTAAATTTCATGTAAGTATGTGCAATGGTTGTAAAGAAAATAAACGGAAACAGCAAATAATTGAAATTCTTCTTAGTTTAAAGGCCCGGTCCCACTGGCGTTAAGGAAGATTTGCGTATGAACTGCGCACAAAATTGGTTTATATTCGCTAAACATTCGCAATATTCGTGAAACATGCTTGTATGAGTCGGCCGACATCCGTACACGTTCGCAATTATCCGCAAAGGCACGTTTTTCCGTTGCCAGGATTTTTGAGCTGCTCAAAATTTTGATTGCGGATGACATCCGCCTTGCATATGCAATACATACGCAATGCATACGCAAAACATACTCGGTCTTTGCGCTGTATATCCGCTGGTTTCCGCCGATATCCGCAACTGACGGGGTATTGCGGTTTGGCAGTGGACTGGGACAATGTGTAAAACGGATATATAGCGTGACTATCACGTCCATATAACGAACTAAAATAATTCGTAGCGAATGCATACGGATTGACCACAAATAATGCGTTTGTATAACGTCTGCTTTGCATCTGATTTACGAACAAATTGCGAGTGCATAACAAACACTTCACGTAAACCCAAGTACTATATAAAGTAGCAGAAATAGACATATTAGCCAGTCATTGCCAGTGTAGCTGTGGAGAAGTACAAATATAGTTATGGATCCTCGAAGACGTTTGATAGTTGCTGCCATCCAACAACATAACAATCAACTTTTCCAAGTTCAGCAATTGATGCATAGGAGGAGAAGAAGGCGAAGAAGAAATCATAGAGCTGTTTGGGTGAGACCATGGATTGATAGAAGACTGGACCTTGGCATGTACAATAAGCTGATGATAGAGCTGCGTAATGAAGATCCACATGCCTTTCACAATTTCATGAGAATGTCCCCAGCCATGTTTGACGAAGTGGTGAACCGGCTCACTCCCAGACTGACCAAGGAACAAACCAACTTCAGACCTAACTTGGAGCCTGGTCTCAAGGTGGCAGTAACCCTGCGCCACCTGGCCTCTGGTACAAAATACAGGGACATGCAGTATGCCTGGAGGGTGCCACACAACACCATAAGCAAAGTTGTCAGAGACGTATGCGAGGCCATAGTGGACGAGTACCTTGATGAGCAGATGACTTGCCCAACCACCGAAGAAGAATGGCGGCAAATTGCTGATGACTGGCTGCAGAGGTGGAACTTCCCTCACACCATTGGTGCCATTGATGGCAAGCATGTGGCATGCAAGGCTCCCCCCAACACAGGGTCGGAATACTACAACTACAAGGGCTTCTTCAGCATCATGCTGTTTGGCATGGTCAGTTCCGACTACAAATTCCTCTGGGCTGACGTATCAGGAAATGGCGCTGCATCAGATGCCCAAATCTACAACCACAGTGAGCTGAAGCAAGGTCTAGAAAGCGACAACATCACGGGTTGGCCACGTCCAGACCCCCTTCCCAATGACACACAAGATGTTCCCTACTTCATTGTGGGTGATGATGCTTTCTCCCTAAGAACATACCTGATGAAGCCATACAGCGCGAAGAACCTGACCAGGGAAGAGCGCATCTACAATTACAGATTGTCAAGGGCAAGGAGAGTGGTAGAAAATGCCTTTGGTATAATGGTCAATAGATTCCAGGTACTGCTCACCACAATGCAGCACCATGCTGAAACAGTCAGGCTCATAGTGAAGGCTTGTATTCTGCTCCACAACCTGATGCGCACCCGATACCCAGTCCTGCAAAACAGACTTTTAGACCGTCAGCTGCAAAATGGACAAATGGAGCCCGGAGAATGGCGAAGGGGCCAAAACCTATTCGACACTGTGGAAGTCCAAGCACCTAACAGAGCTTCAAAAGAAGGCAAGATGCAGCGCAACCTCATCAAGCATTGGTGCAATTCACCTGCTGGTTCCGTAGCCTGGCAAGACAAAATGATAGACTTAGTGTAAAGACAGACCTTCAAAACACTGGTTCATTTCGCCACCTTCTTGATGATTTAATTAACAAGAATGTAATATTGGATGATGTATAATAAATGTATGATGAATTTTGAAGTTTGCCATACTTTTATATCAAGTTCCAAATGTATTGTCTTTCATTAATGTAAGGGAAGTCACAAAAAAGAGGCACATAAATCAAAGTTAACAAACACTGTCTTTTATTTTGTTCACAAGGGACATTATGAGTACTGAAAACATCAAATAAACAAGTGAACTGTCCATTGCACAATATAGGCCATAAATCTACTGAGAGGCCTGTGGAGATGCAGGAGTCGAAGGCAGTGGAGCAGGAGGTGTGTTCAGGGACCTCATGGAAGACAAACTGTCATCCCCCGATCCACTGAGTGACAGGTTCATGGAGTCATCCAAGACGTCATGTGTCAATTTCAACACTTGAGACAAAGTGTCTGAACGTCTTGGCTGGTCAGTGGCACCACTGGTACTTGTCTGCTGAGAGTGTGCTGGCTGGTACTGGGGGAAAGCAAGTGATTGTGTCTGCTGCAACTGCTGAGTTAGCTGGTACTGGGGGATGGCAGGTTGCTGTGGATGCTGGAACTGCTGTGTTAGCTGGTACTGGGGGTGATACAGGCCCTGAGGAGGGGTAAACTGGGACTGTGTCGGCTTGGATGTTGCAGGTAGAATAGAGTGGAGATTAGTAGACGAGGAGAAGTCGATGGCGTTAGGGTTTTGCAGCAGGGATGTGATCTTTCTCATCATGGCATCGTACTGATGATCGGGTAGTCTTCTTAGCGTGTCCGACACGTAGGTAATGAAGGGCTCCCTGGGTGAGGATGGCTTCTCGCAAACAAGCTGGGACAGCAGTTGGGTGTTGGCCTTCATGCTGTCTCTCATCTCTCTCAAGCACTCTTCCTCAGCATCCTGGTGCCTTCTCTTCGTCGAACGGCTGGTGCCACCTCTGCTGTAGACTGCACCTTTTAAGGCCTGTGCAGTGGTCTTCTCTATATTAGAGAGCAGCCCTTCAGTCTCCACTTCCCTTTCGCGGTCGCCTTCGACAGGGATGACACTCTCAACTTCTGATTCAGCATCAGAAGCAACTTCTGCAGCGTCAGGGTCCACGTCACGAGGCAGCTGTAAGTATAAACAAATAAGTTAAAGTTCCATGGTTTTGCACTATAAAGGCATCAAATTAAGGAAAAAACAATTTCCACAATATTACTTACAGATTTCATGGGTGCAGACGACCGGTGTCTCAGCTCTCCCTCATAGAAGGAACACTTCTGCAGCACATATTTCTCTCTGTCTGTTAGCTTCTTCGCAGCCTGCCCAGACTTGACCTTGTGCAGCTTCACATACCATGTATGCATCCCCCTCCACCAGCCCTGCAGATGTTCAGAGGACACGTCCAGGTCCCTTCCTTTCTCTTCCCACAAGGCCTTCTTCCTGTTTGTGTCCTTAAACAGCCTGTGTCCCCTTCTCCACAGTAACTCATTTTCCTCCAGCCACTCAAACACGGCGTCCTCTTGTTCTGACGGGAGGGTGAAATTCATCCTTGGCTTCCTTTCTAGCTGCTGGTCTGTTGCTTTCTCCTTGTTCTTTCCCCTACCCTTCCCCTTGCCAACAATAGGAAGTGTATCAGAATTTCCTGCATGACTAGGACCAGAAGCGACTTCCAGTACCTCAACGACAGCAGCGGCTTCAGGAGGTGGGGTGGGAGACCTGGCGACAGCCCGGGATGGCGCTGGAGGGGGCGGGGTGGGAGATGGAACCCTCCCTCGAGCTCCTGTATCAGCTTTAGTCTTCTGCTTCTTAATCCCCTGCCTCTTTGACCTCTTACGGCCGGACATGTTTTCGGTGTGGTGTTGGTATGAAAAGTGATGCTAAAAAGCCCGCGCTTCTTTTTTATGACCGCAACGCTAATGCCGCGCGTGCTCAATACAACCGTTGTTTCTGCAACACGTGCGGAATGCATTCTCAATACATCCGTGATACTTCCGAGATAATTGCAATGTATTCGATCCGTTTCCTCAATACATGCGATATACATCCGTGATTGTTCGTTATAAATCCGCAGTGTTTGCAATACATTCGTCAACATTTACCAGTTGTACCCCTCATGGAAGAGCATCCGCTATTGCATACGCTTTTATTCGTGAAATATCCGCTTTTGTTCGTCATATTTTCGCTATGCATATTTAATATATCCGTCATTCATACTACGAAATTTGTCATTTTTGGCCAATTTTGTTGCGAACGACAGCGAACGCCCGAAATTTGTATGCTAAATTCATGCGCAATTAATCCGCTCCCCAGTGGGACCGGGCCTTAAGGGGCATAACTCTGTCAAAAATGGTGCGATCGTACCCAAAACAGAACTTGACCTAGTTATTCATGTGATATAGCCGTATACCAAATTTCATTTCAGTATGTGCAATGGTTGCGAAGAAAATGAACGGGAACTTAGTGGACCGACCGACAGAGAGCAGAAAAGCAATATTCGAAGGGGGGCATTACAAGTCTATAGTCATATCTTTCATGCACTAATTACCAAGTATATGCTTCTTGAATCTAGTAATGTTATCAAAAAGTCTTGATGGTAATCATGCTTATAATTGCTAAATGATGTTTAAACAAAGATTATCATTAAAAAAGTGGAAAATTTCAAGTATTGGACATATAGACTAGTTGCTTAGCAACATTTATTTCAAAAGAGTCGCCACGGTTACCATAAAAATGCACTTCTTGTGAAAACATGAATGTTGTGGCTATTTGTATAACAGGTTAGTTTTACCTTTTTTAACTTTTAGCAAAAACTATAAAGAATTAATTCAAGTTTTCAATTATTTTCGTTACTTCGTTTCGTTATTTAGCTGTTGGTGCTCTTTTTCCGACGAGTTTGCAAACGGTTGCCATGGCAACCAAAATATTATTTCATGTTTTTAATCTTGAAATTCAGACAAAACATTTCATCTTCAGGTGTGTATTTTTCATGTATGAAGCATTGTTTTGAAAATCTTATTTCAGCCTTTAAATTTAGTCAAAAATGCCCGAATATGAAAAGGGTTAAGGAGGCTCATAACACCACTTTTTGATGACGTACTACACAAATTAATAAACCTTCGTTATGTTGACCGGTTTTACAGGTATTATAATATGACACTGACAGTGAAAACAAAGTATGCATAAACCAAGAAGAAAGAAACAAGTAATGTCAATTCCATAGCGATGCATGCAGTGTACTCTATCAATCAACATGTTTGTATGGTTGATTGATTGTATGTTGTTTAACGTTCCTACCGAGAGTTTTTCCCTCATATTGAGCCGCTTCCACTTGCCGGTGGAGGGCTACAAATTTTGTCCTGTGATCGGCATTCATGGCCTTTAATCATTTAGGGATCTTTTTCGTTCCAGTACCTACTGCGACACGGGGCTTCAGTTTATACGGTCTCCATGTCCCACAGTGGGATTCGAACTTGCGACAAAAGGATTGACTCCTTACTTCGCGACTCTAAATAACTAAATAAGTAAAAATCATTAGGGTTCTCTAAAGTTCTCTAGGGTTCTGTGTTTAGTAGAACCCAATATCGAATGTCACTTTTTAAATTTAGAAACTTATTTTAAATTAGTTAAAATACAACAGAAGGTTTCTGTATAAGAGCCGGCAGAATTAAGAAAAAATGCAAATGGCTCTTCCTTTAGGATTACGACAGCGCTGAGCAAATCAACAAACTACAAGCAAGTTCATGACCTCTTCTTTCCGGGGAAATTCATTGACAAAGTGAATACATCAGTAAGACATTCTTTGATACTCATGACCACAAACGAAAGTCAAAGGTGAAAGAGTTTCAGTCAGATGGATGATACAGAGGGTATACGAATTGAAGACATGATAAAAGTTGTACCACTTTTAGAATTGTTCATGTTTTAATTCACCTTAAAGTTCAAATTGAATTGCAAGGTATTTCGTTAAAAGCATTTTTCAGTATAGTATTTTTAAATCTCTGGTTATGATGCAATTCAGGGTTAAGAAAGGTTAAATGTAGAGGACAGTGTTAAATATCACTATCTTTTTTATTGCTAGCGCTCTCGAGCGCTAGCAACTACGTTAGTCCAAATTCCTTGAATACGCATGCTCGGCCGCCATGGTGGTGCATTCTGGGAAAACTGTGAAAACTACTACAGATAAACCGTTCGATAACAACTTCGTTGTATCATGTTGTAGCATGAAATAACTATTCATTTATTGTGTAGCTTACACTTTAAAAATAAGTTATTATTTATAATATTTTAAATTCTGGGGGTTTTTTGCTGACGGAAAAGCCCGAGTCATTATCTGATTGTTCTGAACAATGACAAGGGAGTTTTTTTTTAATCTAAGCACAGCCAAAGATAGATTCTAATTTCTGAATGGTCAATTCAGTCAATCTTACAAATTCCAGAAACAGAAGCAAGAATTTACAATAAAAATAACGAATAAATCCACCATTTGCGTTTTAAAAAATTCTGATGTGTATGGCTTTTAACCTAACATATCTTGAAAAAGATGACCCAAAGGATTAAGCTACTTCACATGCGTTCCAAACTCTCTGGACTCTTTACACAACTGTGATACACTTTGAGTTATTTTCTATATTCTTTTCATCTCCCATGTATTTTCTTTTAGCCCCCCCCCCCTCTCCAGTACGTAAAGATCATATATGTTACTTTGCACCAAACTCCAATTAATAGGTCACTCCCCCCCCCCCCCCTGTTTATATGTGTCTATATAAAATACGCTTCACAAAACAATAACTTTATCACTTTCCAGCCTCGATAAAAATTAAAGAATTCAGCAAAATAAATCACTTGATCATAGATCTTCCTTTCTGTGTTTAAAAATTGCTACGGCGCTAGCTCACCTATCTTTTTAAAAGATAAACTTGTCATTTGTTATACGTACAAATCAGTACGTCTCGACAGACACTTCTGGTTTAGAAAGTTCGAGTAGTTTA